AAAGAAACACAATAACTCTCCAGTACCTGACCCCTACCAAAATGGAAATTTATAAATTGCCCAAAAAGGAATTCAAAATAATAATCTTAAGGTAACTCAGTGAGAAAAAAGAGAATACAGACAATTCAACAAAATTAGAAAAACAATTCATGGGTTCAATAATTAATTCAACAAAGAGGTATCATTTATAAGACAGAAATCTTGTAGCAGAGGATATCAACTAATGAAACAAAAAATACAATTGAGGATGTCAATAACAGCCTAGTAGAACAAGAATTTTCTGAATCCTTGAACTTGAAGACAAGTCTTTTGAAAAAGCTTAGGAAGGAAGAAAAGAAAGAAGAGAGAATGAAAAACAGCAAGCAACGCCTATGTGACCTATGGGAAATCATTAAGCAGACAAAGTTTTGCAGTATACAGTTTCCAGAGGGAAAAAAGATGAAGAAAGGCACAGTAATCTTATTAAAATAATAGTTAAAAACCTCCCAACCCTTGGGAGAAATATGAACATCCATATACATAAAGCCCAAAGTCTCCATTAGATTCAACATAAAGATGTCCTCTTTAAGACACATTATAATCATATTACCAAAAGTCAAAGACAAATAGATAATTCTTAAAGTAGCAAGAGAAGAGTATCAAATCATATCTACAGGAATTCATTAGACTATGAACAGATTTCTCAGCAGAAACCATGCAGGCCAGGAGAGAATGGAATGATATATTCAAAGTTCTAAAAGAAAAAGAAAGTGTTAGTCAAGAACATACTATCCGTAAAGCTATTCTTCGGAAATTAAGGAGAAAAAAGTATTTTACAGACAAGCAAAAGCTGAGGGAATTAATCACCACTATACTGGTCTTACAAAAAATGCTTAAGGGAGTGCTTTAACTGGAAATAAAAGGATATTCCTTATTACTATGAAATCCTGTGAAAATATAAAACTTACTTGTAGAGGTAAATTTATAATCGAATTCAGAATACTTAATTATTGTAATGGTGTTATATAATCTTTCAAATCTCTAGGATGATGAGTAAAAGTCAAAATCATCAATGATAACCACAGCCACAATATGTTGTTAGAGAACATGTAATATAAAAAGATGCAAATTAAGGTAACATAATTACAAATTGTGGGAGGAAAGTAAAATTCTAGAATATTTGCATGCAACCAAGCTTAAGTTGTTATCAGTTTAAAATAGCGTTCTGTAAGATTTTTTAAATGTAAGCCCCATGGTAACCAGAGAGAAAAAATTACAGCAGATAAACAAATGAGAAATAGAAAAGAATCAAAGCTTATCACTACACAAAACCGCCAAGCCACAAAGATAAACAAGAGAAGAAAGAAACAAATTTCTACAAAATAACCAGAAAATAATGAATAAAATGAAAAGAGTAGGGCCTTATCTGTCAATAATAATATTAAATGTAAATGGATTAAATTCTCAAAATATGTAGAGTGGATAAGTGGATTAAAAAACAAGACAACATTCTATGCTGCCTACAAGAGACTCACATCACCTGTAAGAATACCCATAGACTGAGAAAGTAAAGGAATGGAAGAAAAATATTGCATGCAAATAGAAATCAAAAGAGACCAGCAGTAGCTATAACTATATCATATAAAATAGACTTTAATTTGAAAACTGAAAAAAAATCGATAATGATAGTCATAATATAATGATAAAGGGATCTATTTAGAAAAAGGATAAAACACTTGTAAATATACATTCACCCAAAACTCGACCTCCCAATATATAAAGCAAATATTATTAGATATACAGAAATAGATAGACTGCAATACAATAATAGTAAAGGATTTTAATCCCTTACTTTCAGTAATGGACGGATCATTCAGACAGAAAATGAACAAAGAAACATTATATTTAAACTTAACTCTAGATCAAATAAATCTAAAATATATTTGCAGAACACTCTACTCAATAATTACAAAATATACATTTTCCCATCAGCACATGGAATTTTCACCAGGATATATCATATGTTAGGCCACAAAACAAGTCTCAACAATTCTGTAAAAATCAAAATCATATTAATTATCTTTTCCAGCCACAATGGAATAAAACTAGAATTCAACAACGAAATGAACTTTGGAAGGTATACAAATACACGAAAATTAATCATACCTTTGAAGAACAAAATAAGCCAATGATAAAATTAAAAAGAACAGTTAAATATTCCTTGAGACAAATAAAGATAGACACTCTACCAAAACTATGAGATACAGCAAAAGCAATTCTAAGAGAGAAGTTTATCGCAATAAATGCCTACATCAAAATATTAGAAAGATCTCTAACAACCTAATGTTATACTTCAAGGAATTAGAAAACACAGGAAGAAACCAAACCCAAAATTAGTAGAAGGAAATAAATAATAAAGATCAGAGCAGACTTAAATGAAATAGAGACTAAACAAAACAATACCAAAGACAACAAAGCAAAAAGTTGTTTTTTAAAAAAGATAAACAAAATTTACAAACAATAGCTGGGCTAAGGATAAAAAGATAGAAGATTCAAATAAAATGAGAGATGAACAAGGAGATATTATGACTAGTTGCACAGAAATACAAAAGATCATAAAAAGCCATTATGAACAACCATATGCTGGAAAACCTAGAAGAAATACATAAATTTCTGGACACATAAAACCTACTAAAATTGAAGAAATAGAAAATCTGAACAGATTGAATTAGTAATAAAATGTCCCCCACCAAAGAACAACCCAGACCCTGATGGCTTCACTAATCAATTCTAGCAAACATTTAATAAATAACTAATAACCTCTCACTGATATGTTAGAGCTAAAAGAATTGATCTCACGGAAATAGAGAATAGAATGACAGATACTAGAGGCTGTGAAGGGTGAGGGGGTGGAAAGGGAATGTAAATGGAGGCTGAATACATTCTATGCATGTAACAAACTCACATGTATCCCATAAATATGTAAAATATTTCACTCATAAAATAAATAAATAAATAAATAGTACCTATCATTTAAAAAAATGAGATTACATCAAACTAAAAAGTTTCTGCACAACAAAGAAAACAACTGAGTGAAGAGACAACCTACAGGATCGGAGGCAATGTTTGCAAACTGTGCACTAATATGGGGTCAATACCCAGAATACATAAGAAACTCAAAACAACTCATTTTCAAGAAAACAAATAATCAAATTTGAAAATGGACAGAAAACCTCAATAGATATTTCTCAGAAAAAGACAGAAAAATGACCAATGAATAGAATATGAAAAAAGTTCTCAGCATCATTAATCATCAGGGATGTGCAAATTAAAATCACAATGATATATCATCTCATAGTTCTCAGAATGGCTATTATCAAAAAGTCAAAGTTAACAAATGCTGGTGCGGATGTGGATAAATGGGAATACTTATATACTGTCAGTAGAAATGTAAATTAGTACAACCATATAGAACAGTATGGAGGTTCCTCAAAAAGTTGAAAATAGAACTACCAAATGATTCATCAATCCCACTTCTCAGTATTTATCCAAAGAAAATGAAATCAAAGAGATATGATTTCAATCTCTGCCAAAGAGATTTTTGCATTCCCATGTTTATGGCAGAACTATTCACAATAGCCAAGATATGAAATCAACCTAAATGTCCATCAATGGATGAATGGATAAAGAAAATGTGGTAATACACAAGCAATATAATTCTTTTTTATTTAACTATAAAAAGAATAAAAGCCTACCATTTGTGACAATATGGATGAATCTGGAAGACATTAAATGAAATAACCAGACACAGGGAAACAAATACTATATTCTCTTACTCGTTTGCAAAATTTTCAAAAATCTATCTTATAGAAATACAGGGTAGAATAGTGGTTACCAGAGGCTGGGGAAGATAGCATGGACGGTGTGTGTGTAGAAACTGGTCAATGGGTATGAAATTACAGATAGATCAGAGGAATAAATTCTGTTTTTCTATTACACAGTATAGTTAACAATATTATATTATTTCAAAATAACTAGAAGAGAGAATTTCAAATGTTCTTATTACAAAGAAAAAATAAATTTTTGAGATAACAAATAATTACCCTGATTTAATCATCACACAATGTATACATGTATTTAACACCACATCACATAATATCCAATAAATATGTACAATTATGTGTCAATTGAAAATAAAATAAAACTTTTTAAAAACCAAGCACAATATCAAGATCCAATGGTCTTTCTTAAGTAGATGAAGACATCTCTTCTTGTCTTGAAATATTATTTACCACAACAACTATATCTCTGTACCAAATTGAACTCAGAAGCCTTTTCTATAAAATAGCTATCTTTATTCTGTTACAACATGCCACAATATAACAAAATTCTAAAAAGAAAAAAACCCTGAAATATATATGACTGATTCTTTTTGATAATTAGATTAAGCTTGATATTTTATGCTATTTTAATTATAATTTTAATATTGAATTGTTTTGGAATAATATAAATGAAGAATAGAATATTATTCAGTTAATATAATCAAAGGAACAATAGAAATAAAAGTTTATATCTGATATATGTGGTTTATTGATATGTCAAAAAAGAAAATAGATTATAACTAATATCCCTATTTTGTATCTTTCAGCAGAATAATCAAACCAATTGTCCAAGAAGACAATTTCAAGTCTATGGAGGCTAGTTTTCTCCCAGTCTCCTAGAAGGAACAGAGTTACCTTGTTAAGATTTAACTTTAGCCACTGTAAACATTGCTACAAGATTTCAAGTCTGAGACTAAATTATCCCATTCAGTTCTTTACAGCATCAGTCAGTGAAAAACAGCCAATCTTCACTCCTAGTATAGATCCAGTCACTGTTATACAATGTACTAGAACAAGGAAAAATAGCCCACATGAAAACATCAGACAAAAATAAACAGGAGATTAAAGTCATTACAATGTTTAAATTGCACTGAAATCTTTATACACAATAAAGGTCAAACTGAGAGAAAAAGTTCTTACCATTGGCAGGCAAGCAGCCTGAACTGAAAGATATATCATCAATAGCAATGACTTCATCCTGTTCATACATTGAAGTCATTTGACCTTGAAAAACAACCTACACAAGAAAAACAAAACAAAACAAAAACATAAAGCAAGGAACATCACTGTCTCACAGTGTTATAAAAGAGAGCCTGCAATAGGAAACATGTCACTCTCTAGAAGCACTTGGGTGACCATGCCAATTCCAGGTGCAAAGAAATCAAAGTAAACACTCTGAAAAACAAAGAAATGTATCTCAAATGTCTAGCATAGGATAGGTAACATGTTAGTGAAATGCAGCAATACTCACCTGGATTTTTCCCTACAACCATCTCCTATGTTCAGTTCCTATGTGTTCATACTGTTTCACATTTACCAGCTTTTGGATCCATGCTCCATCTTGAGATACTGTTCTTGGCATTTTGCAATTGTGTCCCATCTTTCCCTTTGGTTCTCTAAATCTTATCCACTCTTGCCTTAGATGTCATCCTCATGCTATCCTATTGCACATTTTCTGCCATTATCTAAAGATTGCCCGGAAATGATTGTTCTGTGACTTATTGTTAAAATGACTGAACGTGGCCTGTCACAGTGCCTCACGCCTGTAATCCTGGCACTTTGGGAGGATGAGGCGGGTGAATCACTAGAGGTCAGGAATTCTAGACCAACCTGGCAAACATGGTGAAACCCCGTATCTACTAAAAATACAACAAATTAGCTGAGAGTGGTGGCGGGCGCCTGTTAACCCAGCTTCTCAGGAGGCTAAGACAGGAGAACTGCTGGAACCAGGGAGGCGGACGTTGAATCGCTTGAACCCGGGAGGCAGAGGTTGCAGTGAGTGGAGATCACACCACTACACTGCAGCCTGGGTGATAGAGCAAGACTCTGTCTCAAAAAAGAGAGAAAAAAATGACTGAACGTGACATTATGATGTGGAGCCCACCCAAGACACCACTAAGAAAAGATACTCTGGTATGATTGATCTGAGAAACTTAAAAAGAAGCCACTCTCCGATTTTCTAATTACCCAAATCGATAGAAAATTGGCATGTTGATGGCAGACATTATCCCATCCTTATTAATGAATATCACTAATGTTGGAGGCTTTGTTCATGGATGTGATAAAAACATGTGCATTATTCAGTCCTGTTTACAACATAAACATTGTATTTCTCAAGAAGTTGGCCCAGATTTTTAGGTTTACAATTGATCTAGATGCAGCAAAACATCACAGATCATTTTTCTATGGTAAATTATTTCATCCCTGTACAATATGCTGTACCAATACATTTCCTTTCAAACCATATGCTATCTACCACTCTATTACAAATCCACTGAGAAACATCCACGACCTATAGAAAAATCTATCAATAACCCTAAGAAAGTCATATTCTCTTTATACAAAAATAAGTGTAACTACTTAGAAAATAGAACCATGCTTCAAAGGACTGGCAAAGATTGTGTAGAGATAGTTTTATACAAACGTGGTATAACATAGTGATTAAAAGTATGGCTAGAATCTGAATCCAACATATAGCTAGGATCTGAAACCAAGTAGTTTGACTCAAAATATATTTTTTCAAAAAAATATATTTTATATCGTATATGTAGTTATATAATATACATTATGTAATTTATATCATATATAATATATGCTATGTTATATGTTATATATGTTATAATTATAACATATAATATAGATTAATATATATTATATAGATACAAATATTTTTAATCAAACTACTTGGAGATATACAATATATAACATAGAGTATTGTATATTAATAGTATATATTAATAAATGTTATATATTAATAAATATATAATAAATTTGTAATATATATGTTATATATCTCCTTGGAGATATATATATCTCCATATACATATATATACATATATATGTGATATAATGTATATATTATGGAATATATATTATATATACATATATGTATAAGATGCATATATGTATTGTATAGATTTTGCATATGTATGTATATATACATACATAAAATTATGTATTATATACAGATTATATATAATATAATATACATATATGTTATATTTTATATGTTATAAATATATATTTTATATATAATATATATATATTTATATAATATTATACAAGTATTAATTATATTATATAAATTATATAATATGTAATTATACTATATTATTAAAATATATATGTATAATATAATATACATACCCAAGTTGGTTATATATAATATACAACTACATATATTATATACATCCAAGTAGTTTGATTCAAAATATCTATTTATAATATAGATAAATTATATACTTATTATATATTATATATATTTTGAATATATATATATGTATTTCAAATAAAACTATTTGGATTCAGTTCCTTGTTATACCACTTAATAGCAACAAGACCTTGGAGAACTTATTTAACATCTCTGTTCCTCAGTTTTCTTCATTGTACAATTGTAATGATAAAATGATAGCCTACATCATAAGGAAAAATGAGTTGCAAACATGTAAAACAGCACCTGGTATACAGTTAGCATTAAATAATGTTAGCTACTGTTACTGTAACATAGTTATTAAAATATTTAAGCTATTATATGAATTGTGTGTTTGTAAGTAAAAATCTATTCTTTACAAATTAACATTTTATTCTTTCTGAAAGCTTTTTCATAGAGATAGTCCCTAGCAGTTGCTGAGTTAAGGATATGCCGACAGTCACCATATTTTAAAAAAGAAGTAGAAATAAGTGTTAACTATATCACATGTCTCTTGTTTTTTTTTTCTCCACACTCCTCACCAAAAAAACAACATTCATCTTCAGGGTTGATAAATCAGAAACTTACTCTTTCGTGAACTCTCTTCCCCAGTTTCCAAAGTCTGCTGGAGATTTTCACTCAGATGACACAAGTCATTTATAATTCACAACACTTTGTCCTTTCTCCTCGGATTGGAGCTCTCATCTCACTCTCATTTCCTGACAATGGTACCAGAAGACTGGTGCTCTCCAATGCTCAAAACTCCAAACTGACCTTGAGAGTCCCTTTCTCCTCCATTCTCATTTCCAATGAGACAAGCTCCATTAATCCCTATTTTCCTTTCATTCTTATTTCCTCTCCCATCTCCTCCCCCTTGACTACTCAAGTAGCTTTTAAATTACCTTCTTGCCTTAATCCTCTCCTCATTAGAGTTTGTAATAGATATTACATATTTATTTGATTCTGTTAAATTACATGTTAACTTGGTATAACTGATGAAACGTCATTGTGAAAATTCGCTGCCATTTGAGTCCACTAGCCTAGCAGGAAGGAACATTTTTCTTAGGGAAATAATTATTTCTCTAAGTGGAGGGAAATTTACTAATGGGTCTATGTGGCTATAAAACACAAGACCCATCAGGCATAATCAAATAGTCTAGCTAAACAGATTTAAATGAAAAGAGTTGACAAGGATTTGGGTTAGAATCTGGAAAATTAGCTAAAGAAAGTGGAACCCCAGGATGATTAAAAAACAAGAAAAAATAAAGGCAGGACGTAGTGGCTCACGCCTATAATCCCAACACTTTGGGAGGCCAAGGCAGGCTGATCACCTGAGGTCAGGAGTTCTAGACTAGCCTGGCCAACATGGCAAAACCCCATCTCAATTAAAAATACAAAAATTAGCCAGGCGTTGTGGTACACATCTGTAATCCCAGCTACTCAGGAGGCTGAGACAGGAGAATTGCTTGAACCCATGAGGCAGAGATTGCAATCTGAGATGGTGCCACTGCATGCCAACCTGGGTGACAGAGTGAGACTCCATCTCGGAAAAAGAAAATATATATATATGTAGGTTCTATGGAGGGCCCTGGTCAGAGCTGTGTTGCTGTGTGGTAGTTGTATTTTTAGGAAAAGTAGTATCTAACACACATTCTTTGTTTTCTCCAAAACATCAGCAAGATTATTTTGGAGGATAGATAGATTTTTTTTTAAAGGAGCAAAGCAGCAAAATAAAAGTGGATCATAGGACAGATGATGGAGTTCCGACACCACAGAAGTCAGGGACGGCCTGCACTAATCCGACAGTGAACATGAAACAAATTCCTTTCACCCCAAACATTTTAAGAGAAGATGAATAGAGGTAAGCAGTCAGCACTCAAGCCATTTGATTTAAATGTTAGAGGAAATGGTGATGACATATGGATAATACTATTTGCATGGCATTGATACAGGAGCTAGAAAGACATTATTTAGGCAGATAGTGAAGGTAAAAGAGTCCTTGGCAAGGCTTCCCTTCTACCAAAAAGCAGCCCAATAAATTATTTTTTCCAACAAAGAGCAGCCTGAAAAATCAAGCTGTAAACATAGATAAGCAAGCTGAAAGCTTGCACAGGTGAATGCCGGCAGTTGCATCAATAAAAAAAGGCTACCTGGGGGTCAGGCATAGCCAATATAGAAGCTCCGTCTTCCCTTTTATTATCACATGCACAGTAAAGAAACAGGCAACATGGCACCAGCCACTCAGAGAACCCATCTGCATAATAACAGATTAGGGTGGGAAATGCCATCTTTTTGTGCCCTATGCAAACAGTACACCTACCCCTAACCAGTTTTTTGTGCCTTATGCAAATAACACACCTAGTCTGACCAGTCTTTAGTGCACCATGTAAATCAGACACTGCTTCCTCAAGCTCATCTATAAAACCCACCGCATTTCGCCATAGACTGGAAACCCATTCAGGATCCCTCTCTCTGCAAGAGAGAGCTCTTCTCTTTCTTTCACCTATTATTACCTCTATTCTTAACCTCACTTCTTGTGTGTTCACATCTTTGATTTCCTTGGCATGAATCTCAGGTATCGCCCCAGACAACGAGACTGCTTCAGCGTGAGTATAAACATTAGAAACATTTATGGTTATATGTATTATGTAAGAGTTTTCTTAATTAGTCGTATGCATTCATTTCCCAAGCAAACATTTGAGACACAAAATGATGAGAGTAATTATTTCCTCATCATGTGTTATCATAAATATTATTGAATTAAAAGGGAAAATACCTCAGATGATGATTTTGAAGAGTGATGGTAAAATTTTAAAAGTTAAGGTTAAAATTTACATTTTTTAAAATGCAAAGCTCATCTTTTGTCTTTATTAATAAATTCTATTCTTTCTAAATAGGAGGCTGCTGAGAATTCTCCAGCATTTCTCAATGAAATAGCAAAGAAATGAAAAGTAAATAATAGCGTGTTAAAAATGCTTCAGTATCTTTTTATACTTAAGGCACTGATTGTTCATTTAGTTTAACAATCTAGACGTTCAACGTGAAAATTATAGTCAGTGATATACTTAGTAGTAAGGGATAGTATTCATTCCTTCTTACCCATAAAACTGTCACATGAGCTTCTTTCAAGAACAACAACAACAAACAGGAGTGAAAGTGTTACCGAAAGGAAGTCCTGATCCAGACCCCAAGAGAGGGTCTTGGAGCTCACACAAGAAAGAATTGAGAGAATGTCCATAGAGTAAAGTGAAAGCAAGTTTATTAAGAAAGTAGAAGAATAAAAGAATGGCCACTCAATAGACAGAGCAGGGCGTTCCCAAAAGTAAGAGGAGGAATGCGTCCACCCTAGGTACAATACTTGTTTATATACAGGATAAAAAAAGATCACGGGGAGATGTGCTCTGCTATAATCTTTTGCGATAAAGGATTAATTTTCTTCATTACTACATTTTGCAAGAATCGACATTATTATCTATAAAGCAAAATTAGGAATGATTTTGTTCTCAAGGTGTCGGGACACCAGGACACTCCCAAGTCCAGGTCTGTTTAGTAAATGTTATCAATCTGTTCCCTTAACAGTAAACATCTAGAGGCTAGGGATACCTAGCTTTCTGGGGATGCAACCCAGCAAGCTCATTTTCCTAGCCCTCACTCAAGATGGAGTCACTCTGGTACTAATGCCTCTGACAAAAGAAGGTTTCACCTGAATTAGGGGCTACATTTCTACTGCGTGTTAAGTTTGTTTTATTATTTCTCTCCTTGAGTATTTTAGGACAACAGTAAAATTAATCGCTTATGTCTGCAATTTTTTAAAAATGTGATTGCAATTAATCAGCAGCATGCAATGCCTAAAATTGTTGTTTTACCCAGCACAGCAGACAAAAGAATATATAATAAGTCACACACAACAGATTTGACCAAACTAGAGGCTGGGCTTTTTTTCCCATATGTATTCTAAATCCCTGTAATGCTTATCATAATAAAAAAAGTTATTATGGCTCAGTGACTCAGTAATTGAGATCTGACATCAAACTACCTTAGAGTCTAAGCTGGTATGGGATTTAGTAGGTTATTTAACTCTCTAAAGCTTGTAATTCTTGGAGTAAATCATCTTTCTACCTTAGAGGATTTTTGTGAAGGGTCAATAAAATTATGTATCCAAAGAAGTAAACACAGTGCCTTACATATAGTAAGTGCTAAAGAAATTTTAGTTGTTATTATTCCTTAAATATCTTCAGAAACTCTCTGAAATGCTTCCGTCTTTGCTAAGTAGATAAACAGCAATCCTTGTGTATGCAGCAGCATTCCCTCAGAAATTAGCCTGCTTCAATTTCATTAAAGGAGAGACCTAGTCATTCACAGATGGAGGTGATAAAGCCCCCAGGTGAGCATCAGCTGCAGAGGCTTTGTCCTAAGCCCATGCTAAGCTGGGATCCAGCTGGGACCGAAATCTCCTATTTGGACATTTTTAAAGGAAGGATGCATGGCTTTTAAACTATTAGAAGTCAGCATGGAAAGGAAATGGCAGAAAATGAAATAATTCTCAGAGGCTTATAAGTTGTCGAGGCAGCAGATACTGTCTGGAGGCTCTGATTACAGAATTCCCTCGAATAAGCCCCTCACAGAATCTTTTCAGGAGTGAGATACTAGATGGTGCCAGGCCATATTACAAGTACAGCACTTCTCTGTGGCCCACCAAACAAAAGCAAATGAACATCTGCTCACTTGCTGACAGGACAGAACAAAAGCATACCTGCAATCCGAAAAGGCTGGTGTAGCCGAGGTATCCCGAGAGAGTCATATAGTCTCCTAATTTTTGCAAAGCCTTTAAGGTAAATGCAATGTTTTCACATCAGCAATAATGTATTTTGGGATATAAAATTAATATATTGCACATGCATCTGCTTTAGTTGAAGCCACTGGTACATTTAAAGCACTCAAGTGAATAACCTTGCTGCCTCAGCTACAGTCGAATCACCCTGGATATTACATATTCTGGAGTTTTACTTTTTTTTTTAAATTGATCTACTGCACATATTTAATCATCAGAACTCAGGATGTATCACTCGAGAATAGGAAGCTGAGCAAAACAAGGACGTTATTTTGAAAGGTTTGACCTACAAGATACAGCAAGTTCCAGTTCTACTCCACACTCTGATCTCTTATGCTTCTAATAGAGATCTGGACCCCAAAAGACATAGACAGGTCTAAGAAGGCACAAACGTTGGCAAAAGTAGTTTAAGACTCCCATACCATCAGCTCTGTTTCAAAGTTAAAAAGATGTGTAAATAATGACGGAGTCGACCCATAGATAAGATTCTCATCTTATTTATTAAGTGTCTACAAGAACAGAGAGAGATGGAACTTCAGCAACATCAACCTTCAGTCTACTCGATGTGACTCAATCCCCATAAACACAATCTTGGCCCGGTTTTGTTGCTTTTGTTGTCGTTGTTGAGACAACAAGCAGACACAGGGAATTAAGAAGAGAAGGGTAAGAAATAAAATAACTTCTCCAGTGGTTAATAACACTTGAGCATCTACAGCAAATTAAATATATTATTGGTGCTCAGGGGGTATTCATTCTGCATACCACAGCCCTTGAAAGCCACAGATGTCTTCAGGGCCCAGGGACACACAGTATCCCCTGCCCACACCTATCAATCATCTTCCCTTAACATGCTGTAGGGAACCTTTCCCTCATTGTACCTACCACATCCAAGAGACCCAAATTAATATTTCTTAAGTGAATGAATGAATTGTTGATAGAAAGACTTAAGTGCCTGATGACTTAAGATGCCTTTCCAACCACCCACACCCCCAACACTGATATTTGACTTCAACAGAGTACAGTCTCAGTCTCTGGTTATTGTTTCCAGTGGTAGTTTCTCTGAAGTCCTGCCATATAGGTGTCATTTAACCACCTGTTAAGGGATTTTTTTGTAGCCTTCTTTTCTTCCCCATTAAGTTTATCAAAATCTGAAAATTCCAAATTACAGTGATTTATGATCAATCAATTAAGAAACTATGCCATTCTTATATCTTATAATTCAACTTTTACAATGAAGATCCTGTTCATTTAGCCATTCTTTTTCTCTTAGCCACTCAAAAGAATCAAAGGTAAAATTCAATCCAATTTAATCCCTATATTTAAGCAAGTGCTAAATCCACCATATAACAAATGATTTGATTTATATCAAATTTATAACATTGATTATTATATCATTCTAATAATAGATGATAAAAAAACCGACTTGGGTTAAATTGACTCACAGAGAAGGATTAGAAAGTTTTAAGGAATAAAATGCTTTAAAAATCTCATGTTTAATAGGAAAATTTTGTTTGATTGTCCCAAATGTTAAAATAGGCAATACTGCTTCAAGAACTGGTAATAATCATTAGATTATCATTTCAATGCATAAGTTTTATTAGGCTGCATAAATAAGTTGTGTTTTATAGGCTTGCATTGACTTTAATTCTCTAAACTACTTTAGAAAATAAAGGCTGTGTTATCTATGAAATGAATATGACAATTATTCTACTTCAACAGCATTTGGAATAAGTATTTAAACATTCTCCTTCCTCATTACCCAGCATCCCCCTCTCTCAAAAGCATGAAAAAAGTCTGAAAGGAAAAAGTAATGAAAAGAAAGAAGAAGCTGGAGCAGTAAGAAAAGTAGAAAGGAATGGAGAGAGTTCAAGAAATTAGGAGGAAATTAAAAGGTTGTATTTTACTGATATATCAGTACGTCTTAAAATATATCACTTTTAGTTTTCATACATACAATTCAAAACCTTATTGTAAAAATGTCTTTCAGGGTGGCTAGCCATCCCAAATTGCCTGAGATGTCCACTTTCAGCACTTGAAAGTCTTGGGAAATCCCTCAGTCGCTGGCAAACTGGGACGGTTGCCTTACTTTTAGTTCACCTGGTGTTAAAGATCTGTATCTTATTTTTTCTTTAAGGCCATACTTAGAAAATAGAACACACATACCTGAAATCTCTGTGAACTCTGGATTTTGATGACATTTCTCTCCCACTGATTTGGGAGTGCAGCTGTGTTTTGCCATAAATGCTGAATAGGACCTCCACATGCAGTCTGAAGCCCAACCATTAATTTGCCACTCACTTGGCTGGAGAAGTAATAAAATGTAATCTGTGAAAGACAATTAGTACCCAAACAGTTATGATAAAGAAGTCCCCAAATGTGACAACATATTTAAAATGCTGTGTGCTTTCAAATACCTGGCAGTCATGTTGATCATTTGTCGGAAGGAAAACTCTGCTTCTTAAACTTGAGGAAATAGAATCCACTCTGGACACCAGTAAAAGGAAGTGAGCTATCAGAAAGAAGAGACAGAGTACAAAAAAAAAAAAATAATAGAGAGAATGAATAAGACCTACTATTTGATAGCATAATGGAGTGACTGTAGTCAATAATAATTTCATTATACATTTAAAGATAACTAAAAGAGTGTGATTGAATTGTCTGTAACATAAAAGATCAATGCTTAGGGGATGGGTACCCCATTCTCCATGATGTGATTATTGTGCATTGCATACCTGTATCAAAACATCTCATGTACCCCATAAATATACACATCTACTATGTACCTACAAAACTTAAAAGACAAAAAATAAAAAGAAACAACCGACAATGTGTTAGATTCAGAGTGATCACTGGCGAATTTAAGACACCAAGTGATAATTCAGGCCCACATCCTCACTAGATTAATAATTTTTTTTGTTTAAAGAATAAATAATTTAACCACATCATTTACTTTTGCAAACCATCTGATATTTTTACTTCTTTCTATTGCCCAGTGATACAGCTAATTGCAATTATACTCCCTATAATATGATCATGGACTATAGTTTACAACCCAATTTATCACATTTAACATAGAAAGATACATCCCTGCAAAGATGCTATCTACATTATACTATCAGGACTGCCTACCAAAATAAGCAATTCAATGAAGACTTGTGACAGAGCAGGAGCACCATTATCTTGGACAAACACCACTATTTTAAGCTCCAGCTCCCTTTCTAATCTCATGCATTTCAAATAAATCATTTCTAACAATAAGCAGCTAGAAAGAGCAGACAGTACAATACAGATAAAACAGCTGCATGGTGTAAAGACCAAACTTCACACTCATACAATGGGCCCAAGTAAAACAGTGGGCCCTAATAAGCACATTCCTTTCTCTTTAGGTTCACTAAGACAGGGAAGCTAAAAGCAGACTTGGGGGGTATGCCTGCAGTTGCAGAAAGATGTATGGGAACAGACACAAAATTCTCCCTCCCAGATAAGCAAGACAAAGAGACACAGAAACATTCTGAGCCTGTGATAAGCTCTCCCGTCCTAAAATACTCTTAGTCTGTAAGAGAGAGGGCTCTTGACCTAACTCGGCCAGAGGCCCCTCTCAGGTTTATTCTTTAAAATAAACCTGTTTCTGACTGATGAGTCACTTTTCATGTTTCTTTTGTCCTTCTTCAACTCTTACAGCTTTAGAAGAGATCATTGCTCACTGTACTTTTGTTCAGAAGAAGTTAGATCAGATAGTCCCAGCTTTTACTAGGATTATGGAAAACAACTCTGAGCCCTGATGCTTTCCTGTGCACTGCAGTATGGATAATACCTGTGGACTCTTATGGTTTAGAAGTCTGTAAAATAAATGTTTCGCATTCCCTGGGCTCTCATAGATTTCCTGTAATGTTTTATGCAGGTTCAAGCATATAATCTGAAAACCATTGTTTTCTGCCACTTTATTTCATGTGCTTCTCTTTGTCAAAAGGAATGAGAAATATGATGATGATGACTATGATGACATAGCTACCTCAGTTATTCAGTGGTATTTTAAAGTCAGATTGGAAATCAAATCTAATTGTCACATCATTAAAAGAATCAATAGTAAAATTATGAGACCTAAGGAAGAAACCTCTCTTCCCTACTCCTATTCCAAAATTGCATCCTAATTAAGCAGCAAACAGTGACATTAACGATTGCTTATGAATATAGTCAGAGACATAACTGAAATAACTGTAATAACACACGATTATTCTAAGACTATACTTAGTGGAATTATTATGTAAACACAATTTAGATGAAGAGCGGGTATCATGGTGATGCAAGTGGACTATCATTAGTTGGCTCCTGCAGCAGGTAAACAAATGGTAAGCAAATGAATAATCAAATAAACAGAATAAGTCATATGCATATATTATTGTAAGTTTAAATATTATTATTAGCAATACAAATGGTAATAGCATTCAGTCGGCTCTAAATTGTTCTTTATAAACATTCAACTACTAAAAAGAATCCCTGAGATACTCAGAAAAATTATGTTTATTTGTCAATGATATTACCTAAATTATTCATATTTCTTAAAGCTTGATATTAAAAATCAGATTTGACACATTAAGTTATTAAATAATAAAAGCAGCATTTTTCAGTGATATTTTTCAACTCACACATTAATAAATTATTTAAATATTTAAACAGAGTGTTTCATAAATAAAAACTGTCATTTGTTATGTGTTATGGCACTATAAATTATTCTGTATTGTATCAAATATTCAATAAAGGTCAATCTTCAGGTTATAGTAGAAAGTAAAGGTTTAAATTCAGAAACAGCTTGATATCTTTTGACCTTTGTTCTAGTAATAAACTTTTTCTTTGTATGGGGAAAAAATTGTTCAAAATGCACCCAGTGGCAATATCTGTTTTCTATGTTTAATTTTAACTTAGTGACAATCGCGATTTTTTTTAGTGTGCACTTCATTTACCTTGCTCCTTTAGTATGAGTATAGAATTTCCTGAATTCACAGATGGAGATGTTCCCTAAAGAAAAATGTCACTTTATAGAAAGTTCCCTGGCTTTCCAGAGAACATTTTTTATCATGGCTGTTTATGAGTTTAAGAGAAAAATGCAAATCTTTGACAGCATAACTTTTCTCCACATGACCATCCCCTCATTTAACACTCACATCTACTACAGCTCTAACCAGCCAGAAAAGACTGCATAAAGCTCTTGAACAACAAAGTTTATATTGAATATTTTCTCTATAAACCTCTTGTACTTCCTTTAGCAGCCTAATAATACAGATATCACATGCAAACACATAATCACCATTATCATCATATATCTCCATTAATCTCTACACCATCCTCATTATAGCTTGTTTACATGATACTTAAATTCCCATGTTGTGCCTGCATTTATAAAAGTCAATGCATAATGTCTTTGAATCACATGTGTAACATAATCTTGTGACAAAGGGTTAATTATTAAAATGACGAAATAACATAAATAGCCCAATTTCATTTATAGTCTTAAATGTTTATGTTAGAGGACTTTTAAAAATACTTTTTCTCAGTTACTGGTTAAGTATTGGAATGAAATCCCAAGTTTGATGACAAAAAAAAGGAGACATATAAAATATGAAAGCAACAAAAACCATGAATCAAGGTTTGAGAGCTAAATCCAATAACTTTGGCAGTGAATTCCATCAACCTTGATCTTCAGGAAAGATAAGGAAGAATTTTCGGTTTCACTTTCCTCAACCATTGATGGGCAGCCTTGTACTTCCTCCATTTCCCATATTCTGAGAGATTAATGGACCTGAATGTGAGCAGGAGAGACATAAATCCTGTTGCATGCTACAGAGTAACCAATTGGTTCAAAGGAACTCAAAAAAGGAGAATTTTAACAGTGAGATGATATCAGTTCTCAAGAACGTTCAAAAAAAATCAGGCTGTAGAAATGGATCATCATAACAAGATCCAAAGCTTGCAGCAAATGTTAAAATGTCAAAACTTATGGAAATATGAAAATGCACTAATTTCTGACAAAAAGCATAGTTTAATTCAGATAATAGAGAGCAAATAGTAGTATTAGATACAAACCTCTTCAAGTTGATAATTTGCCTATTTATTAAATTCTGTTTCCTTTGAATCATAAGTTTTGACTCATACCAATTTATTAAGCTAGTAAGCTCAACAGAACCAGGTAATATTTGCTAAAATAGTATCACTTAAAGAATACCCTCAAATAGTAATCCCTTCTCATTACTAGCAAGTTGTACATGGATGCTACCATATCCACTTATGTCTGACTTCAGTGACAAAGGGCTATGTGAGTCACTTTAGGAGATGATAAAATATATAGTAAACCACAAGAGTACTGTCAATGAAAATGCCAGAATAGAGACCTCTGAAACTTTTGCCCCCACAAAATCAATTTTAAAACTGGCAAAAAAGTCAGAATCAACTTGTCTGGAACTCTGGAAATCAGCCAAGCTTTTGGGGAATTTAGAGGGCTTTTATTCAACAAATGGCTAAATCTCAGTTTTAAAAAATGGTGAGCTTTATGGGCTTTAACTTGCCCTAGTCTCATTGCCCACTCTCCAGTTTCACATTTAACTTTGAAAAATAGCAGCTTGCATTCCTGTGCAGCCTGGCAGCCACAAGAATGAGTAAAATGGTGCTAGACCTTTTTCAAAGCCTCATTCTCAAATAATTGTCATTAGTTGATCTGTCTTTTAGTTCCCTGAAAGACCACAATTAAAACGCCATCTGAAATTGACCATAATAATAGCTTGCTCAGTATAAAATGCTTTTTCTACATAAGGGGTTTGTTGAAAACAATTACCAGCAAGTGTTATAACTTCATAGTCACCTGAGGCAGTGTGTAACAGTTGGTGAAAATAACAAACTAATAGAATGAGACATTGATAGAGAATTTTAAAAGTTCCAACATATCCCTGCAAATCTAGCCAGACATGGGCATGTGTAGGGCTGTACACATGCTCTGGAAATACCTGAAAAGACCCTAAGCCCTAACATCTGGCTGATATTGAGGCTCTACGAAACCAGGAAATGGAAGCTAAGGCAGAGTTATCAGCTGCCTGGATGAGTATGGAAAGTGCACCCCAACATACACACAGAGTCCCTCAGCAAAACATAGAGATTTATTGGTCCCAGGCTGCTTTGGTCTGAATGTTTGTGCCCCTGCACACACACACATTCATATGTGGAAGCATAATGTTTGGAGATGAGACTTTTGGGATGTGAGTAGATCCTGAAGGTAGAGTCCTCAAGGATGGATTTAATTCATTTATACAAGAAGGACTAGAGAGTTGCCTTGCCCCTTCCACCATGTGAGAACTCAGCAGGATAGTACTGTCCTATGAATCAGGAAGTGGTCCCTCATCAGACACTTCAATCTGCCAGTGCCTTGATCTTGGACTTCCCAGCCTATAGAACTGTGAGAAATAAATTTCCATTGTTTATAATCTACGCAGTTTATGGCATTTTGTTCTAGCAGCCAAAATG